ATGATGATGCTATTTAACACAGTGACAAATCGATTCAACTCACAATAATTTCATTAATATTAACAATAAGAAACTGAAATCGTAACACTATACTAATATAACATAAAGGCATGTAAAGAGAGTAATTGCGAGAAAATTACCCCCCATTCCTTCTATTTTTTCTGACTTCTGCGGTGTAAATCCCAGCGCAACGTATTTGCCGAAGTTACCCTATAAGTTTATCGCCACGATGGCTATCTCATAAAATGTAAAACGAATCACGATTTTATATTTCAAGTGTAAAAGTTTGTAATACATATAATTATCTAGTTAATGTGTAATTTTATTCTATGTTGCATCTCCACGTAATACCGTGACGTAAATTTAACAAAATGGCGGAAGCATAGACCAACGCAAACATCCACAATGGAGAACAAAGAGTTAATACCACTGTGCTAGATCAACAATCTATGTTCGCGTAGAATTGATATTTCTGAATTATACGGCGGCGAATCGCCATTTACGATGGCGTCGTTCTCGCGGCATGCCCATTCCGCCGTAGCACGAAATACGGCCGCCGTAGATTTTACGAATGCACGCACGCATGCACGCATGTTCGTTCGCTTATTCGCCACACGCGTGCAATGCAACCAGCTAACCGCGAACGAACGTTCATTGATCTGCGGTCGAAAATGCACCATGCGCTTCCGCTTCCGTGCGGCTTCTCTCTGCGCTTTCGGCTCGTTTGTGCCCTTCCTGAATAACAGGCGAATAATCTTCGCCAAAAGCCTCAAAGGCGAATACAAATAATACATTTCATGCACAAGAATGTTTATATCGAGAACCGATTGTACCGTTTGAAATATAAAAACGATATCCTTTAATTAAATTCTTCTTCCTTGTTTGTAAAAATAGCAGTCATATAAACAAGATTAAAATCTAATAAAAAGAATAATAATTTATAAGATTCATTTCAGATATGAGATTGTAAAGTCTTATAAATTGTGGGTTTAATCCATTTTTGCTTGGAACATTTTACATAGTAAAAACATTTTGTATTTAGTATAATGTAATTATTGGAATATTTTGTGTTAAATTGATATTCGATACTTATTAGATTAAAATAATAGAATTTATGAGTAAGTGAACAAATAACATAAAAATAATGTTTTTTAAAACGTAAATTCTAAAATAAATGAATTAATAAATAAAATATATTTTAACATATTTTAAATGTTAATTTTAATGAAAAAATAATTGCTTATAAATTGCGTCAATATTATGTTTTTTTGTGTAATTAATTTTAATTAATTTAATTTTTACAATTTTTGTGTTACTTTTTAACATATTCCTCTTGTATTACATCAATATAAAAGTGGATTGTTTAATGAAATGTGTTAAATTTAACACAAATTTTTCAACTATATAAAAAGAAAATTACAAAAAGGTAAAAATATGAACCTTAAAATTCATGCGCTAGGACGTGACTTTAATATTTTCGAGAGAAATATGAAAATATTGTAGACATGCATAATAATATTGTAGACATACACAATTTCATTATCGTTTCATTAATGAAATCTTCTATTAAATGAAAGAAGGGGTAATTTAGGTTTTAATTATACAATATTTAATAAGGAATTATGAACAAACTTTCTGACATCGCACAACGATATTACCACAAATTTAGATTCATACTTATTATCACTTGGGTAACTACAGAAAAAACATGCGCGCGAGTTAACTAGAAATTACAGCTTTTTGCATGGGTGAGTTAATCCAAGACAATAATGCGAAGAGCTAATAATACCCTTGCCAGAAGCGGCACCGAGCATAATGCAGTTGGCTCGAGCACGACTCTGCCTCACGGAAGAAAAGAAGATATAGATCGAGAAAAGATGATACTATCATCTTGTACTAAAAATTTTGTGCACAATCTTATAATGAAGAGAATACAAAATTAAAAATAAGAGAATAGTTTCCAGAAATCTAATTTAGAAAAAAATATTTAAAAGGAAAAGAAAGGTTATCCTTGTCCTATATTTTAATTATTTTATGTATTTTATAAGTGAGGATTATTTAAATAAGTTAACACGAGCTAAAATTGAACTCAAAGTACAGAGAGTGCTGTATGAAAAAGCAATGGGGTCTCAAAAGGAACATTCTAAAGTTAATAAGCGCCAACGAGCTTGCAGGCATTTATGGTGCAACGCGAACTACGTGAATACAGTTATGCATTATTCGCTCGACATCGTGCATAGACATTACGCGTGCATTTGGAATTGCGGTACACTGGCAAATAAATCTGTTCGAGAGATAGAGAAATGAAGTGGTACTGATAGAAGAGACAGATAAGAACAATATGTTTGTCGACCGGGCCACCACGAAAAGCGGAAGGTGAGAGAACTTGTGGCTCCTTCTGCTTTTCTGTTGGCTCGCTTCTCATGATCTCTTTGTTCGACCGTCAACGCTCTTTGTTCGGTTCGTGTTTTCGGGTCACCCTAGAATTTGCCGCTGAATTGTTGGCTCGCCGAGTTTCAGCCCCGGTGTGCCACACCGCGAAACTGGCGGATACCCACGAAAACCAGCGATTTCGGTGTGATGCTATTCTCCCCGTTGGTGCCCCGCTTTTCGCCCGTTTTGGTCTAGAACGCGTGAGATCGAGTTTTAAGCCGGTCAGGCTATAGGAGTAGTTGACTAGGTGGCTTTAGTTTGATTGTGGAATATAGTTCTGAAGAATTAAACCTGACAAATACGAGCTCTGTAATTCCAAATATTCTCTTTATGTATCACAGTTTCACAAACATGAACATATTCTATTTTTGTATTATTGTTATAATTGCAATTATAACATAAAGTTTATTTGAATTATTTAGAATTATGTCGAAAAGAATGAAAATCAGATATATTGTAGTGTTAAATATTTATGTTTGTTATTCAAAATAACTTCTCATGTTTTGCATTCGCATGCAAAAAGTTACAACTATCCAGAATCTAATATATGCGAATGATCTGAAATCGTTGGTGGATTGGAAACTGATTATCGAACAATGAAATGGGCTGTTAATAATAAAAGAATTAGCTTTTAAATCGTCATCTAATAAAGCGTTGATGAAATAATGTTAGCGTGAAATGAATCAATGTTCAAGTGCGAAATCACGCTGTTGTATAATTGTATAATTGTGACCAATCATATACAGAAACGTTCATAGGTATTATATAGCTGATATCGCGTTTCAATAGTGTTTTTATTCGATTATCTTTTATGTTTCGATTAATTCGATTATTTTTTATGACCCGCTTCTTGATTTAAGGAAGCAAGTCCTAACAAGTCGAAACAGAACGTAGTGGCAACTATCAGTAGCTTGGTCCATATCTTTTGACGAAATTTCTTTTGACATTTAACAATTATGAGAAGATTCCAATGTGTGATTCGAATTATTCTATTGTTAATGGTGATTCAACTGCATTGCGAAATTTTGCCGCACAATTTCCAATATCACAAAAAATGCATATAAAATATTCGGATGATATAATAATCAGTTTGGAAGACACGGACTACGTTCTGCCATCAGTGCCACTGCATGTAATCGATGCATCACGACATAAACCTCAACCATCAAGTAAATTGCATAGACATCAAGGACGATGTGATCGATTTGGATTTCAGAATTATGTTATCTATATTTGGAGTTCAGAGTTATATGCGGATCCTATTCCGTATATAATTGAAGTATCACGACGCAAGTTATCACTATTATCAAGCAAATTGCGTAGACATCAAGCATATTTGAATGACACGATCATATATCTGGATAATTTAAAACGAGTTATATATAATCGGTTGTATGTAATCGTTTTTTTGTCTTACAAACCTCAGTCAGAATGGAAACTGTCTTCGGATGTCTCAGAAGAACATTTATACGATGCATCAGATAAATATTAAGATGAAGTACAAGAAGAACGTACCGTAGATTTGGATTCAATATTTCTTTCTATCTATGTTGAATCTGCACATTCATCTCGAAAATGCATAATTTGTTAAAATTCATAAATATTGAAAGTATAAGTACCAAAATTCTTGTTACACAATGACTACAAACAATCGAAATTATGAAAAAACTGAAACGATTATCAAGTATCCTCAGGAGACAGAATTAATAGACAATCATTGTAAACTGACTTAATCATTTCGAGAATAACAACATTACTGAAATAAAAGAAAATTGTAATCAACTGTAATGTTTACATGGACAACTATTAAAATATCTATAACATATTGCATGAATGATTTGAAGTATCTATGCTATAAAGAAGAATAATCATGATAATCATCACGAATTGTTTATCTAGAAAATTAATTAATGGTCACTGTAGAGAGAGAGACACACACACAGTGATATTATGTATATTACAGAAGTAACAATAAATTAGTCGAGCTAATTGTGTTAATATATATTACGCGCGCGCGCGCACGCGCACACACACATACACACACACACACACACACACACACACACATTAATGTGTTATATTTTTGAAATATGTTATGTAATAATAAATAGTAATGTTGATTATTATATAAATTAAATTTAAATTTTGCCATTTCTGTATTAAAAAAATTATGTTATTATTGTTGAATCTATATTTATAATTTTTTACGTTTCTCTGGCGTCATCAAAGTTAAACAGTGAGGTCTTATAATAATAGTTTGATAATAGAAATTATCTTTATTTAATAATTAGACTACCTTAATTTTATATAATTTAGATTTTCCTTTTTGATCTTTTTGTTAAATCTGCTCAATTCCTTTAACTGCTTTATTCCGTTTACGAGTCACTTTATACATGATAAATTCTGAATACGAAGTATCGTTTCAAAATTAACCTCTGCCTATACGTAACGTATGCAGGCGTACAAATTGCGCCGTTCTGCAAATTGCTTCACGAAACACGTCTTTCGCGCCATTATAGGATTTGCGGCTGAATTATAGAGGCAGGCTTCCACATGGGAGAGGCCGACGAAAGCTGACGATATCTGCGAACTAAGCTACCAAAAGGCTGACTTCATTGCAGTGGTGAGAGCCAGAATCGTTACTAGGATTGTAGAACTACGTGTAATGGCTCAATGATTATCGTTACATGAAAAAGAAAATTTATAAATATCTCTCCTCATAAAGTTGTGATTGAAGTCTTATTTCGACTTTCAGCGGCTTCCACTTTTTCTCTCTCTTTCTCTCTCTTTTATCTTCAGATAAAAAACACATGTAATATACTTTCTTGATTTTATTATACACACGAACATTCTCTAACATGCAAGACATAAAATTATTAAATAAAAACTATATACGTTAAATCAGATTCTTTATATTGCAACATATAATCTCATCTCTTTTTTAGAGAAGTTTTGTAAATTCTATAATTTTGATTGAATATGCGCGCGCGCGCGCGCGCGCGCGTGTGTGTGTGTGTGTGTGTGTGTGTGTGTGTGTGTTTATATATTACATTATATTATAAACAATAAGATAGAACAAGACCGTTATATAAATAAATCATCCAAGTAACCTTAAACCTTAAACACATTGAAAAACACAGGTATAATAGAAGCAGAGTTTACGAGAAATTCCAAATATTGTCAAAGTTAAATGTTAGAATAATATTTCTATATGTATTTTAAATACAAATACATTTATTTTAGATATATTACAAATAGCTTTCTTATTAGAAAGCTTTCAAATAAATCATTAGACAAGCACTTAAATCTAAATTATCTCATTGTATTTTGTTTAATAATGCGTTGTGTATTGCACATTCCACTTAAAATATATTTTTCTTAATGTATACATTTATCTAAAGTGTACTATTTTGCGGTAATAATCGTAATTCTTTCTGTTCGTTTAAGATACTAAAATGGACGCCGAGGCAGCGTTGCTGGAAAACTCGCCGACTTTGTCGACGATATCGTCGGATTCTACGGATGCGACATACTCGGGACCCGGCTCGCCCTATTCCCCGGAATCACCGATCATCGTCACGTCCTCCTATAAAAAAATACGTGACGATGAAGTCACGCCCAGACCAACGCTCAGATATCCACTGCCATCCAGGAAGCCGAGCTTCCGGATACGACCGCCCTACCTCATGATCTGTATCAGCATCATCGAGGTGAGTGAATGTTAAATGTAAAATAGCTACATGATTACCATTTTAATTACTACTTGAAACGTTGTTATATAGGTAATTGTAACAATTTACCTTAATTATAATTATAAAAGAACAATTATCTCTTTGAAAGCCACAAAAGAAATAAACTATATTATAAACTATATTATTTTTATTTTAGTATATTATTAATAAAATTTGCGATTTTAGTTTTGTGATTATGTAAGCGTTAGGTATTTAGCGTTTATAGATAAAGTAGTAGTATTAGAAGATAGATTTGCATAAAAAATGCAGTAACTAAATCAAAATCATCATCTACATTTTCTCATTGCAATATATTTTTTAAAATTATCTCCTAATACATATATATAGTATATATATATATATATCGTATCACATACAACATATATACATACGTACACATATATTAATACTCGCTTAACTAAATTTATCATAAT